CCCCAAAACCCCAAAACCCCAAAACCCCAAAACCCCGAGATGTTAAAAGATATTTGAAAAGTTGATTATTAGGTTTCATCAAATGACATTTTACCGTCATGATCAAGCATATTCTGGGCTATTTGTCGATCAAGTTCATCCTGAGGGTGTTTTAGCCTGATCATAAGCTTATCAATAACGAAATCGCTGGTTGATGCCCACCTTTTGATTCATTCGCTGATGAGTTCATGAGCGAAGTCTTCGAACTTCCTATTAGACTCCTTAAGCTGGTTGTACTGGGTGTTGAAAATTACTGACTGGAGAATATCCTCAACATTGCTTTGATCAAGGTTGTTATCCCCGATTGAGAGCTTCTCAATACAAAAGTTTGTCTTTAGGGCCTCTCCGATGTATTGGCCTCCTTTCTCGCTAATATCACAGTTGAAGAGTTCAAGTTCTTGGAGAGAGACGTGGTTTTGGATCATCTGTCCGACAGCTTTGGCTCCTTTATCTCCAATAGGGCAGTTTCGCATGAGCAATGACTTGAGAGATTTGTTCTTAGTTAATATCAAGCACAATTGAGCTACAGTATCTCCGTTGATCTTTGAATCTGAGATATTGATGAACTTTATGTTCAGATTGACTTCAAAAACCTTCATGAGTAGTTTAAAATTATTCGGCCCGATATCATTATCACTAAGATCAATGTACTCAAGCATGGGCCGCTTAGAGAGAGCCAAAGATAAGTGTTCAATGCCAAGTGAGTCATAGAAGAGCTCTTCGAAACTTAAGTCTTTGATCTTCTCTTTGTTCTGAATTTTTAGCTCGATTACTTTGGACTCCTCGAGGTATTTATAGCCAATAAAGTTCCTTGCAAAGCTGATCTTATTTGAGCACAGTTGTGTTCTTAAGGTAGATAGAAAGGATGAAGATATCTTCTGAGTAAAGTGTATTACTTGACAAGTCGAGGTCAACAATCATATTCATCTTTATCATATTGAGAGGTAGCTTTCCTCCATTTATTCTGATGCAATCAATATGAGACTCGTAGATGAACTTCGCTAGGTATTTTAGAGAGAATTCAGAGAGCTTAGAGTATCTGAAATCTGATACATCAGAGCCATCCTGATCTGCTGATTTCCTCCGCTTCTTAGAAGAAATTTCATCAGTTTTAGAATCAAGAGTTTGAGTATTAGGCACATCAGGATGTCCAAGAACCTCTTGGAGCAACTTTGGGACTGCCCTTAAGTTGTTCTGGAGGTCGAGCAAGACTTTTCTGACCTCGAATAAGGACTGATACCTTCTTGAAGGATCTGGGTGCAAGAGCCTTGTGAGGATATATCACATCCCATCTGATAGAATGAACTTTTGTAGAAAGGCAGGTGGGGAATAAATGTTGTCACTAGGTTTCTTTTCAAAGATATCCTTTGAATTCACATAATCCGATAAAGATTGGTAGAATGACAAAGGCGGAGTCGTGCCAATCAGACATTTGAACAGTATCACTCCAATACTGAAGATATCACAAGATGTAGTGATTTTGCCGATTTTATTCATAATTTTGCGATTTGACTCTTCAAATGTCATATTTTGGAAGAGTTCTGAGTTTGAGAAATTAGGGTTCTGAGACTTCTCCATACCGTAAAAGGAAGGATCTTTACCTATCTGTTGGAATTTCTCCCCGTATTCAATATACTCAGGGCTCAGATATTCCTTCCTCCTCATGGTTAGGTCATAAATTGAAGGGTTATCCTCAGTGTTCGGGATCTTTTTCTTTAGCAATTTCTTTGGGTCCCAAGAACAGTAGAACAAAGAGTTGAATCATAGAGTGTTAAGATCATCCTGTACCCTGAAGAAGATCTCTCAAGGGTTTAGGTTGGTATGGACAATTCCTTTAGAATGGAGGGTTTCAACAAGCTTGATGATCTTCAGAATCAGCTCAATACTCTTGTCTTCAGACATGTCTGTCTTCCTTCTTTTGAAGATTGTCGGTTCTTCATCATAGCTCTTTTGGTGGCTAACTGAGCGAGAGATGGAGTCTCTGTCAATCTTATTTATCCTCCTCGTTGAGGGTATCCTCGTACACGTCAGCTTCATTCTGGGAGAGGTAGTCTTCAAGAGTGTAGACAGAGTAGTCCTCTGTCTCCCGGAAGATTATACTGCTAGGAAGCAGTCCGAAGTCAGTAACCTTCAGGATACATTCCTCGTTAATGGAGTTCAGCAATAAGGTCTCTCTCCATAAATTTATAGACAGTAGCATTTTCACCAAGATGGATGAATTTATGAAATTGAAGTTAGAATAGGGATTCATTGACTCTGATTGGTCATCATCATTTCTGGAAGAGATGAAGTCCAACAGTTGGCAATATATTTTGTTAGTGGTATGTGACATTAAGATATCAAAACTCTTCTCTTCATCATTAATCCCATAGACTTCTATCGTCTTGATCCTGTATGCATACTCTAGATTGTTCACATAGAAATGGTTCAACAAATGGTCTTGAGATAGAGACAAGTACTTGCTTTTACTCGATCCTGGTCCAATGAAGAACTTGTGGCTCTTTGATTCTTCAGAAGACATTGACCTTGAGATAGTCTTCATCCCTCTCTTATTCTCTGTTTCATTATCTCTTAAAGTTTTATTGGACACTGATTCATCGATGACTCTTTGGGCTTCCTTCTTGGCTCTACAGATTGATCTATAGCTGGAGACTTCTGTGATTTTATACTTGCCTAGAAAGAGAGAGCCAAGTTCAAAATATTTGTTGATCTTTTCCTCTTTCAGGTTGTCAACCAGCTGGTTAATATTCTGATAGGATTCGTCCAAGACATAGGTCAAGTCTTTGAGTAATTTCTCGATTAGTTCCCTGAATACCTGTTGGCTGTAGATCTTCTTGAATCCTATTTTGGACTCTATGGTCTTGTAGATCTCAAAGAGGTGGTCTCTCTTTATGGAGAGGGTATTGCTGATGGCTCACAAGGTCTTTTCAATCATATATCTTAGCTCTATGTCACTCATATTATCTTCTGAGCTGATCGAGAACACTCTGAAAAGGATCGAAATCCTATTTTTCAATCGTATCCTGTGCGAAAAGAGCTAATGTTATGAACATGATCAGAATGTCTATTTCAAGACCTGAAGTTGTCCATTTTAAGTAATTTAGTTTGATATTTGACTCCATTTCTAGAAGGATACCTTCCTTAAATTCTTGAGGGATCATGTAGAGAGGCCGACCTCTGGCTTTCCATCTCTGTCTCATCTCTTCGAGCATCTCAACATTGATGTATGAGGATTCTAGGCTGTAGAAGAACAGCTGCTTGTAAGATTTCTTGTCCTGAAAGGTTAAATTGCCCATTTAAAATTTAAATATTTTATTGTCAATAAATCCACCTGTGGTGGGGTTTTGGGGTTTTGGGGTTTTGGGGTTTTGGGG